AAACATTTCTCACAAATGATGCACTTAATGGCCCTTATTTGCCAAGGTCAAGCATCAGCCAGCTTGTTGATTATTGTTGATGCAGATAGATGGGAGTGCCAAACTTCCTTATTATTATTAGTTGCCTGAGATTCAACACAGATCAAAGGCAAGCCATAAAGAGACTAGCAAATGGATGGAGATGTGGCCTGTCAAAGGAAGCTCTTTCAAGAGTTGAGGTCCTCCTGGCTATATTTTCCCCCAGCCTCTTTGGGCTGTCTGTCAGTCTGGAAACAAAGTGAGAGAAGGAGCCAAAAACAGTCCAGTGAGGGAAGAAGTCAGAACCAGTGCTGCCTGCCATTTTGTCATGGCTGATAGTGAGGAGCATTAATTTGAAGCTCGGATTAAGGAGTTGGGGTCCTGGAGTTGTGAAAAAAGCATCTCCCTTTGTGGAGGTGAGCAAGCTCTCTCTTTGGAGGGTCGGCTCTGCAGTGGAATGGAGTGGAGTGGATTAGGCTAGTGATGCTGCCAGGCCAAGAGGAATCCTTCCCAGGACCAGGGACAGGCCCTTTGAGGCATAAGGAATGGAGCATCTTCCTTGACAGTGTCCCACTAGGGATAATCAAGGACAGGATCTCAGAGGCAGCAATTCCAATATGCCACTTCACTTGCTCTGCAGCTGGGAAATAGGGGGAGGCTGGGCTATTGCCTAATGGGGAAAGCAAGGAATGAGAGATCTATAGTCCCTCTCTTCCCAGAACCATTTCTTTCTAAACAACAGCACAGGACAACAGCTGGTGTGGCAAATGTAGCCCTATCTGCAAAAGGCATCCTGAGTGGCAGCTTCACTCTGCCCAATGACAGGGCTGTCATTTCTGATATCCCAGCTGGGGAAGGGCAACGTGGCTGTGGCCTTTATTTGTAAGGGCTGGTGGGTTTTATTGACCTAAATGTCCTCAGACATGTTCATTTTAAAACACAGAAACCTTATTCCTGAGGCATAAGTAAAATGTACTTATTTAGTGCTGACCCTAAGACTTTGGAGGTGGTGTATAAAACACTCTCCATGAGCCCCTTTCATCTGAAAAAGATGAGGTGTGTAGAATATGATGGTCTTATGATGTTCTTGCTGGTGTTCCCTTCAAAGGTTAGACACTGAGATGCCTTAGGTTAGGGGTGAGGAACCTACAGCTCTCCAGGTTCTGAGGAACCTTATGGTAAAGCTAGTCCCCATATAAAAGCCCTCTTAGAAATGTAGCAATGTAGCAAAACATCTGTCAAATGTTCAAGGAGCCAGTGTGGCATAGTGGGATTGTAGAACAATGACTCTGGAGAGCAGGGTTCAATTCCCAGCTCAGCCATGAAACCCACTGGATGACTTTGGGCAAGTGACATTCTCTCAGTCTCAGGGGGAGGCAATGGGAAACCACCTCTGAACAAATCTTGTCAAGAAAACACCATGATAGGATTGCCTTAGGATCACCGTGAGTTGGAAAGGACTTGAAGGCATGGAACAACAACAAAGGAACAGGCATTATGTCCCTATTTTCTAAACTGTACCACTCCAGGCTGCAGGAGTGGAATAAGGGGTCCATGAAAAATGATCCCTGGATAAGAAAAGCTAGACATCTTACAGAAGGTTTCTAACCAGTGGCGGCTGGCACCCACCAGGGCTGTGGCTTATGGCAGAAGCCAAAGTTAACACTACTGTGGAACAGGCAAGAGGAGTTTGGCTGGGGAATAGAGTGAACAAGGATCGGGAGCAGTGTCCCACTTGCCCTAGTGGCCCAGCCAATTGATTAAGATAGCTTTATCCCTGATGGTCTCTTTTTCCCAACATCTTCTTTTTTATGTGGTAGCATCCAGCCATATCATTCCCCCTTACCTACAGTCAAAAGTGGTACAAACCAGAAACAAGTTTGTACCACTTCCCCATTTCACTAGAACTAGGCGGCAGTGGCCCATTGACAAAAGGGAGCCTTGGAGTCTCCAAATGGTTGGAAATGAGGGCCATTTTGAAACTGACAATACTTTAGAGAATAGTGCTGTCTGTATGGTTGTTTGTCTCCTTTTCCATCTTCAGGATGTGTACTGACAAAATGCAGAGCTTCCAAAGTTACTTTTAAGAGGGCTAATTATAATGAGATGCTTCACATCCCTGCAGCCATCTGTTCCTGACCAGTGACAGAGTAATATTTTGAAGATCTAGAGCATCATCCTAATGTGTTCATTTATGAATGGTTTAAGTAGGTTGTTATACTCATTTTTTTTAAAAAAGCAACTTTCCAATCTCAGCAATTTATTACAAAAGAGCCATATGGTTCCAGTACTGAATCCTTACAACAGGGATGGGCAGAATGCTTTCCATTTTTTCAGCCCTTGGTCCTTCCAGATTCCCTGCACCATCCTTTATTCTTGTCCCAAAATGAGTGAATCATCACTCCTGAAAACTTAGAAAATAGCTTTCAGACCACTCTGAATGATCTGTTTGTTTTACACACACACACTGTATACGCACACATATATACACACACTTTAAAAAACCAAATATGGACTTTGGGCCAGTTCTCATTCTCTTGTTTCTTTTTCTGGCAGTCTACATGGCCCCTGGAGGACCCTGGGACAAAAAAATTGGCCTCCAGTCCCAATGGTGTTTCAGAACCCTGACTTACAAGGAGTTTTATAGAGCTGCTTCTAGACATTTTTACTGCTTCCCTGGGAAGTGCGAAACAGACAAGAACTATCTCTGTTCAGGAATCATTCAATAGTAGAGAATCCCGTTGGCTTTGTGGGGTAAACCCAGCATGGTGTAGTGGTTTCAGTGCTGGACTAGGATTCTGGGAGACCAGGGTTTGAATCCCTGCTTGACTATGGAAACCCACTGTGTGGTCTTAGGCAAGTCACTCTGTCAGGCTCCTGCCACACTGCAAAACTAATGCAGTTTGATGCCACTTTAACTGCCATGGCTCCATCCTATGGAATCCTGGGATTTGTAGTTTATTATGGCACCAGAGCTCTCTGACAGAGAATATCTCTAAATATCTCACAAAACTACAAATCCTAGAATTCCATAGCATTGAGTCATGGCAATTAAAGTGGTATCAAATTGCATTAATTTTGCAGTGTGGCAGCAGTGGTGTCAAACAGCATTAATTCTACAGGGTAGATACGGCCTCTGGGCAGACGAAAGTAATGACAAATCACTTTTGAAGTTGTAGGCTTTCATGGCCGGCATCCATAGTTTTTTGTGGGTTTTTCAGGCTGTGTGGCAGGGCTTCAGGGTAGGAGGATATGCAAAAGAGGATTATTGTCTGCTAATTGGTGATCATTGTCTGCTGGGAAAGTCCCTGACCCTGGGTAGTTTCCCATTTGCATTTGCACTCAGCAAATCCTCTTTTGCATATCCTCCCACCCTGAGGCTCTGCCATCAACAACAGACCAATACAAGTTTATATGGGAATCACTCCTCCCTACCTCTGGTCTCACAGTATATATATATATACCCACTCTCTTCCATTCCAGCATTCTCTGAAGATGCCAGCCACAGATGCTGATGAAACGTCAGGAAGAAACTCTTCTAGAACATGGCCACACAGCCCGAAAAACCCACAAAAAATTATAAACCCCTTTTGAATTAATCTTGCCAAGAAAAATCCCATGTCCTGTTCATTGTAGGGTCACCATAAATTGCCAATCGAGTTTATCACACAGGAGGTAAAGTTCCCATATCCCGTTGATAAATGGGGTTTAAATCCCAGGAATATCCTGCAAGACCGGGATTGTTTTCAGACATGTCACAAAATTTTCCCGAAGTTAAAAAGCGGCGTGATTTTGCCACTTTTTGCACAGGTTAATGTCATGTTAATGCTTAATTCGAGGGATGTCGTCTGAAAACAATCCCGCTCTTGTGGGATTTTTCTGGGTTTAAACCCTATTTATGCATGGGATTTGGGCACTTCCCTCCCATGTAATAAACTTCAATAACTTGAAGGCACACAACAATAAAGAGGCAGTTATAAGTGGCACAAGTTCCTTAGCAAACCACATTCTGTTTGGGATTTTTAAAAACTATGTATGTCTCTGCATGTCTGTGTGTCTGCATTTTTTCATCTCATCTTTTCAAATGATTCCATTATGCTGCCCCAGAGTTGGGATCCAGGGAGATGGCTCCTCTGTTCACTGTCCCTTCTGACAACCATTCCTGTAGGTTGTCTCAGATGGAGATGAGTTGGGCATTACAGCCTGAAAAAAGATTACGGTACTTGTTTTCTCCTCTTCCTTCCCCCCCCCCCCCACTTTTGTGCCAACTCATTTTAAGCCTGTGGGTAGGGGATTGTCTTGTGACTGTATGCAAACTATCCTGGGAACATTTTGCACTGAGCGGTGCGGTAAAGAATGCTTAAAATAAAATAAAATATCTCTCCCAATATATATTGGATATGGGTGTTGGATCAGTTTGGTAGCATATTTCTAGGCATTTAAATGTGATATATCTGTGTATTTTTATTTAATGCATTTTATTACTTTATTGGGTCTGTGTTCTTAATTGTGTATTTATAGTAGAATCATTTTTTGTTTAAATAAACAGGTGAAAACAATAAAATACATAATACATTGCTTATTCCTTATATGATGCAGTAGGTCTGCTTTCCATTTCTCCTCTTTTTTTTTTTTTTAAAGAAAACATATTTTATATTGAACTGGCATAACCTTACATGAAGTATTTCAGCTGCCAAGGGGAATAACCATATTACGGTAATTAATCATACTATACCGTAATAGTGAACGTGTTCTCAGAGAACTTATAGTTATAGAGCCAAAATGGGGCCATCACACACAAATGGGCTCAGAAGGGCTCCAAGGATTGAAGAATTGCAATGCTTATTGCAGGGGGTGGTGGGCTACAACTGGGACCTCAAGGAAAACGCAATGAGAGGTCTGCATGCTTGGTCAACATGGAAGCCTGTCTGATTGTTGGGAGGGAAGTGAAAAATCAGGAGGGAAGAGAAATAGAAGGGGGAGCCAGTGTGGTGTAGTGGTTTGAGTGTTGGATTACAACTCAGGAAACCAGGGTTTAAATCACTGCTCAGCCATGGAAACCCACTGAGTGACCTTAGGCAAGTCACACTCTCTCAGCCTCAGAGGAAGGCAAAATTAAAAACCTCACTGGACAAATCTTAAGAAAACCCCAGGATATGTCCATCTTAGAGTTGCCATAAGTTGGAAATGACTTGAAGGTACACAGTAACAATCCTGGAAGAAAGCTGGAACACTCTAGGTCAGGGGTTGGCAAGTTCCCCTTACCTGGGGCCGGTCCAGGGATCTCCTGGTCTTCCGCGGGCCGATGGTGTGTGTGGGGGAAATGGGGGCGTGTGCGCTCACATGCACGTACATGTGCAGTACACCAGAAGTACTGCACATGTGTTGCATGCATGCTTGCGCGTGCGCAGTACTTCTGGAGTACTGCACACGCGCGAGCAAGTCGCGCCTGCCATTTTGGAAAACATGGGCCATAGGTTGCCGATCCCTGCTCTAGGTGGTTGGGGGCTAGTCTAAAAGTAAGTGTATTATGAGCATTGTTGCAGATTGTTGTACATTTGCAGTGACGTTTAATTGTCTTCACTTTCCTGCATAAATTCACATCTACTTGCATCTATTCACTTCCCCTGCGAAAATGCACAGCCATCCAAATCCATACGAAACAGATGAATGGTCACACATGTGATGACAGGCATGTCTGCAGATTTCCATGGATACACAAGTAAAAACCCTGAAGATTTTTTTTTGCAGAGTTTAAGGAGTTTTTCGTCCCCCTGCCCCTAAAAAAGCTTGAACCTCTGTGACTCCTGGGTGGCTGATAGCATTGTATTGACTAAAATGAGGAGAATTTTAATGTGTAAACTAGCCTGGAAATGCCCCAGGCTCTAACATTTTGTTGCAGTTTCGTCGTCGTCGTCGTCCTCCTCCTCCTCCTTCTCCTTCTCCTTCTCCTCACCACCACAACCACCTTTGTTGTTGTTGATAATGATAGCAGCAACAGCAGCAGGCATACAATTCCAGTGTTACTCTTTAAATTGCAGGCACAGAAAACCATAAACACCATCTTTGTGTTTGTGCTTTATTAGTTTCAGAAATGAAATATGACTCAAAGCAGTGAAGTATCAAGACAATTTTGGAGGCTTATTGCATAGCTAAAATAAAGCATTTTACCTGAATCGAATTTAATTTTAAATCAGGCTGCATCCAGACCCTATCACAAAGATTGTGCTACCAAAACCACCGCCTGAATGCAGTCCGACTCCATTCCCACTCCCAGGCACCTCTTTTCAAAACCAGGAGTTTTCCGGCTTGAAAAATGGCTGCTTGAGCACTCCTGGAAGCGGGGATGGACCCAGGCTGCATTTGGGTGGTGATTTTGGCGGTAAAATCTTTGTGATAGGGTCAAGGTGCAGCCCAATTTAAAATTAAATTTGATTATTAGCCATGCGATAAAGTCTAATAGCATGGAGCCTGGAAGGAAGAACCCTGTTTTCCTAACCCTGTTACTAGGGTACTTCATTCAGCAGTTGAGCATCCAGGAGGGCTAGTTCCAGCACCAGCTCTGTGGCTTATGTAGTTTAGTCTTTTCAAGCATAAGACTACTGAAAAAACATACCTCTGGTGGATTCACCTTCCAAAGGGTATTAGGTACAATCAAGACCTGGCCAGGAAGTTCACAGGCCTCTTGCTCTAGGAGAGCATCTTAATTCTCCTGGGCAATACACCAGGCGAAGCTGCCCTGATGTACTGCCAAAGCAACAGGGAGGTTTCCTGAGGAAGGTGCTGGAGGGGCATTGGGCTACCATGTCCAGCTTTTTCATCCACAGTCTGCTTGCATTAGGGCCAAGAGCAGTGTGGTGGAGCAGGGGAGAGAGAACTGCAAGAAGGCAAGGGAAAGAAGGAAGACAGAGAATGGCCACTGTGATTCAGCTGGGAGGCAAGAGAGACCGGGAGACCATGAAAGCAAGAAAGAATGGTAAAAAGGAGAGCAAACTGAAGAGGTGGTACCAGGGTGGGGAAGATAATATGGTGCTGGTGATGACCTTATGGTTTCACCACATGGAGACAAAAATCCATGTAAAGGCCACCTCCATATCCTTCTTTCAAAAATGACACAGAGAGAATGACAAAGTAAGGGGCAGATACAGTGGTGATCTGTTTTGGTATTTGTAGACTTCTAGGCATTTGCATATACTTTGATCACTAGGGAGAAGGAGTATAACCTGCAGGTTCTATCAGCCTCTTGGATTCCACTTGGGCAGCCCCTGAAATCTCCCAATCTCCCAATTTTTTTTTTTTAAAATGTGATTTTGGGGCAATTTGTGTCTGAAAACAATGCAAAAATTCCCCAAATGCATAAAAACAAATGAAAACATCATTGCACCCAGAGAACCACCCAAATACTTCTAAATCTAAGGTACAAGGGGGTAGGAAACAAGGGCACATTACAGTCACTAGAGCTCCCATCATTCTCTCTCTCTTTCTCTCTCTCTCTGTCTGTCTTTCCCCTTCCTTTCTCTCTCACTCTAGCATACGTGATGCATCCTGCTATTTTATTTTCAGAAGCCAACATTTGCCATGGGTGGGCAGTGCTTCTCCTCTCTAGCTAGAATGACCATGTATCCATTGCCAAAAAGAGAAGACAAAAGAAGCCACAGTTTTGCATGGCTCTGCTGTATACTCATCTAAATGTAGAGATGCACAATTGGAAACAATGGCTGTAACTGAAAACTGAAAAAGGAAATGAATACAATGCATTTGTCCATAGTGGAGAAGACTGAGACCTGGAGACATTAGTGTCTGCCTGCTCCTCCTAAGGGTTGATAGGAAAGTTCAAGCCCTTCCCTGCTCCCTCTTCAGATGGCTTTTCTTTCTTTAAACTGGACTTGGAGCAGGTATAGCTTCAAGTACAGCAGTGGTTCCTCCCCTGTGGGCCTCTATTTGTTTTGGACTTCAGATCTCAGAAGCCCAAGCCAACCTGGCCAACAGTCAGGAATTATGGGAGCTGAAGTCCAAAACTTCTGGAGGACCAAAGGGTGAGAATCACTAAAATAAAAGGCACTGTCCTCTTCAAATTAGCCCCATAGGTATCCTAAATCTGTCCAGTCCCTGTCTCGGGCTCTGAACCGCATGAAGAGGTCATGAGGGTGTTTTCCCAGGTTACTGCTTCCAGTATGACTGGGGCTAATATCTGCCTGAATAGAGTGAGAACATGCCACATGGGGTCTCAGAGGATTTTTGAAATAAATGGACACCTCAGTCATAGCTCTTGTACACCCAGTGGAGATGAAATGGATACATACAATGTCACGAACAAACCAAGAGCAGAGGATCAGATTATCAGTTTACTTATTTAATTTATACCCCATCTTTCTCCTATTAGATTAGAAGCTACATAGATTAATGCTAGGATATTAATGCATTTAAATGTATTTACTACTCTGTATTTACTCTAGGGCTGGTTTTTTTTTTTAAAAATTTAGCTTTAAAGCAAACATCAGGATTGTACGTAACAGAGAAGCTTCCACTTACAAGCCATTTGAGTGAGAAAATGGATGTCCAGTAACAATTTCTTTTAAAATATCTTGCAGGATCGCTCTTCTGTGTCTTTTCTAATACATTATTCTTTTAAGGGGAAGCATCAACAATACCTGGAACTTTGCTAATGTCCATCCTTGCTGATCTTTTAAGTTCTACAGTGCACTCCTCTAGAATTTCCAGCCTGAAGAGCTGGCTTCACATTTGCCTCATGGCAAAGCCAACTCCGAGAGTATAGAATGGGAGGCAGAGAAAAAGCAGAAAGAGCCAAACCAGAAGGAAGATGACAGGGAGAGACTGAGGGAGGGGAAAAATACAGAGGGAGGAGTTTTCATTGCCAGCTGAACTGACAGCCTGTCAGGACAATCAGAATCATCTAAATATAGGAAAATTATCTGGGCATCCATGGAGAATATAGAGCCCATGGAACAATTGTTATTGTCCCATCAACAGACCTTTCCCCCTGTGATCTGACCCCATATGACAGTTCTTGGCCATGTAGCATGGGGCAAGCCAGGAGTGGGGGTGGGTGGGAGAAAATTTGTCTGGATAGGTTCTCAACTTTTGATCCTCTAGATATTTTGGACTAACTCCTAGACAGCCAGCATGGCCAATTATCTGGAATTCTTCTATTCTGGAAGCTGACATCCAAAGCATGGCAGGCCAAAGGTTGAGAGCCACTGCTGTATAGTAGACCACAAAGAAGAAAAGTCCACCTCTAGGATGAGCGCAGAGAATGAGGTTTCATTGGAGCTGGGGGTAGGGGGTTGTTGAACATATTATACTGGAATCACAAAGGAGAACAGAGCTCAGCAACACTGACCCCACCCAAATCCACATGTGCAGAGAGACAAATAAAAGAAGCCCATCAGGCTGGGATGATGGGTTAAGTTGGGGAGCAGTAGCCCTGCTGTCCATCCAGGAGGAATCATTGAGGACCCATGCTCTGCCTAATAGCAATAGTGATTGCATGTACATTTCTATGTAGCTTATCAGCACTCTCTAAGCGCTTTACAGTCTTACTAATGAAAGGTCATAGCATGGCCTTGCCCAGCCACCTCCCAAATTTAGCCTAGTTTCCCTCTGACCTACCTCATTTCCCTATTTTTCCCCTGGCCATGGCGAAACTGTACAAACAGCAGGCTTGAGAAACATTAACACCTAAAGTAGAAAGAGCAAAATAACACCCCTGGCTATTAGATTTTTTGTAATAAATTTTAAAAGAATAAATCATTTCTGCACCTTTTATGGTGCCCCAATCTGCTAGCCAGTGGCCATAAGAACCTCTTAATCAGGGTCCTTTTATCCACTGTCCATCCCATGCCATGCTATATGAAACCTCATGGCTGGCAGTGGCAGAGGTAGGGATTGCTTCACATAGTAGTGGTGTGGGTCTGCAAAATGACCAGTGATATCATTTCAATGAGAAATGGTACTGGCTATTTTCCTATTGGAGTTGCACAATTCCCTTCATGTAGGTCATTTCCACAATATGGCCAGGAAAATCTTCCTCCCA